ATGGGCATTATTTTCATATCACAATAAGACTTGCAGTACTTTGCCTTAACTTCTAAGAATGTTGGCCTTTCATCTCCAACACTACACTAAAATTTCTGTAAGGTAGACAAAATACATTAACTTATTTTGTCATTTTTCATATTATTCTTTACTATTTTGGTAACAAATTACAATAATCTTCCTATATTGCTTTTTGCTTACACCCTTCACCTATATTATCATTTTCTACTAGACTATGAAGTAATAATTCTATCCAAGTGGGACTATCAATAATTAAATGGTTTTTATTTTTAGCACACAGAACTACAAGCTTTAGCTACATCATTTCACCACTAGATGGTGCCTGTGGCACAAGTAATATGAAATGTGGGCAGTTTAAAAACAGAGTGTTCTGATGATTGGGAGGAAATAAGACAATAAAGATAGATGTTAGGGAGAGATTTTTTTAAATTAGATTTTTCAACACTGCAGGGCAAAACTGCCATATAATAAGAGTTCAGAATGCTGGACAATTAAGAAAATTCCTTCTATTGATTCAATTCATCATGAAGAGGTAGGTTAGTTACTATGGCAAACAAAACAATCAACAGAGTCAGGTGCCAGCTATGGTATATGCAAATAATCTGACTTTGTGCAGGTTGCTTAAACTCCTGGGACTCAGTTTCTTCAACTGTTAAAAAATAAGGCAAGTAGACTAATACAATATTTATAGGTGGCTTAAGAAGGACTTGGTTAATAGAAACCTCTAAGACATCTCTAGTAATTCTAAAATAATATAGCTTAAAAGTTAACTTGTTAGGAAAAATGCAACTTCAAGGCAGATCTTGTATCTAACTTCTTCCCCAATCAGGAAGATTTAAATAAAATATCTGGTCCTGCCATTGGTCCATCTTAAAATGAAACCCAGATTACTTAAAACTCTGGGTTCTCTTTGTAGGCAGTATTTTTGCATGGTAGGTGTTATATACAGATTTATAAACTTCTGGAAACTATGAAAAAAGAAGATAAACACAATGCGAAATAATGACTATGTATACTGTTATATTTGCTTGCTTAGAAATCACTGACAGAAGCAAAAGAACGCAAAGGGAAAACTGAAAAGGAAAGTAAACTGGAGACGTTAATTAGGTAGTGTGGAAAAAAGGTTAATGAATTATAAGCTGATGAGAAATAAGAATGTGTATTTACATACTTTAAGGAATACAAACTTACTTCTGCTTCGTTCTTCAACACTGCTAATAGATTTTCAGCAATAGCTAAGGCAAAGCCCTCCACATGATTTAGATATAAATAGGGCGAAAGACACACCTAAGTCTATTTATATGACATTGTAGTATATCTTTTTAACTCAGCAAACTTTACAAATGCATGGAAGCATCCTTCTGAAAATCTTGCCTGTTGTAAGGACCTGTCTAAAAATATACCGTTCTTTAGCTATCTTTTATTTCCAAAGGTCTGTGCTTATGTAAAAGTGAAAGTTTCTAGGCTATAACTAATCTAGAATAGTAAATATGAAAATAGCTATAAAAGATTTTATTTCTAATCTCAATCTAATGATTGGTTTAAATGGCTGATTTCATTAAATGCTTCACCTAATATTTACCAAATGTCAATAAAAGCTATTTCCCCCCTGAAGAGTTGTCTTAGTAAAACACAATATGCACCCATATCGATTTTTCCCCACAATTAAGTTATTCCCTTAAAATTATACTTTGAAGGATATATTTTGTGCAAAACCCTTGCCACACTCCCCTTCTGGCTAGATAGATAACTAGGCTGTTCAGCTCAGTTTTGCTGTCAGCTGGAGACACCCTCCTGTGCTGTCCCCTGGTGCTGCAACATTATAGGCCCAATAAAAGAATTCACTAAATAGCTTTTTTTAAAAAATGGACTGGAGGTGTGGCTTATTTGGTATAGCATCTGCCTAGCAAGCAAGAAACTCAGAGTTCCAACACCATTACTACCAAAAAATAAAAATAAAAACAACCAAGAAAAAAGAAAAAAACTACCACCAAAACAAAAACCACATGCTTTACTCTGTAAAGGATATCAAGAATACTTTTTGTTGTCATTTTGTTTTGGTGGTACTGGGGATCGAACACAGGGCTTCACACATGCTAGGCAAGCACTGTAACACTAAGCTCCACCTCCAGCCCCAAGGAACTACCATTTTAACAAACCAATTAGATACAATTTTTTTTTTTTGCTGTTTAATAAAACAGTATGTACTTTGTGATCCACTTCCCATTTCTAAAATAAGCTTAAAAAATAGAAATATACACATCGAAATGGTGATAGTCATTTTCCCTGGTTGATGATTTCCATAATTTTTCTTTTTTAAATTTTCAACAAAGAACCAAATATTAATGTCATTACTTATTTTAGATTGTAAGAGACAATATTTTTATAAAAATGTGGTGTTGCATATTAAAGAAACTTGTTAATCTGATTTCTACGAAAATTAGGTATGATGATCTCAACTTTCTCAAAATCCAGAGGCTATTTCCCTGTACAAGGACTCACTCTACGGGTTACTCAGATAATATATACTTACTCTAACATTTCTAAAGTAATTGTGAATTTTCTAAAAACACAAGAGGGCAGTGTTTTATGTTTCAAACTCAATTTCTTTTAATTTCTGTGTACACACACACTTTTCATTTGTGTAATATAAAATATTTTTGTATGTTATGTACATTTTATATTTATTTCAAATATTAAAGTGAATACAACATATTAAAATATACTTTTCTTTCTTGGTGGTACTGAAGTTTGAACTCAGGACCTCAAACTTGCTAGCAAGTTTGCTTGAGCCACTCTGCCAGCCCCTAAAATATACTTCATATTATCTATATCTAACCTTTTTAGGGCTGTATTAACAAGTACATAATCTAAGTATGTGACCTGATACTATGTCATATTAAAACTAAATTACTAATAAGCACATTGAAAATAGAGGCTTATTAGTACTGGTTAAAACTTCATTAAAATTGCAAAAATAATTTTGTAAAAATTAAATACTATAGTTAAAACTGGATCTTTAAGAAAACACTGAAATTCTTTTCTCTAACTCTTAAATTTTCTAACTATTTTTGGGGCAGTTCTGGGGTTTGAACTCAGCTTTGCATTTGCTAAGCAAGGGCAAGATTTAAAATACATAATTATCACTTAAGCCAGACCCCCCAGCCTAAAACTTGTAACATTTACAAGTCTTATGACTCATAGTGGTGGTAAAAGACAAGCTGAGAGGAAAAGGACATTCCAGGAAGAGAAAACAGTAGAAGCAAAGTCATGTCATCTTAAAATTACATAGTTTACTTAGGGGATGTCAAGGTATGTGACTATGATATAGGCTGCACTGAGAAAATAGATAAAGATGAAGTTGGGAAAAGTACGACAGGATCATTTGGGAGAAGAATGATATGTTATTCTTTGAGATTGAACTTTAAATTAAAGGCAGTGGGGAAGTCACTGAAAACTTAAAGAAGAGAAAGCTGTGACTAGATCTATAAGGCAAATTAGAAGAGCAAAAGCTTGGAAAATGGGAGACAAAGGAGTAAAGTACATTAGTCAAATCCTTAAATAGTGCAAAAACAATGGAGGTGAAAAGAGGAAGTTTTTCATGGACATCTGTAAACTGAACTTTGTGAAGGGATAATCATAGTGAACGAGGGTAAGTGGGTGGTTAGATAAGCCTTACAGACTATATAGAGAGTTTTTAATCACTCTGCAAGATACTTTTTGAAATCCAGGTAGCAAGATCTACTAAATAGCTGGAAATGTAGAGCTGCAATTCAGGGGAGAAGTGAGATACAAGTAAAAGAGGTAAAAATGAGATTGAGTTTTTTTATAATTTATGAAATAACTCTATTACATGACATTCATACTCCCTATTAAAAGTTGTGGATGTTAAGAGATAGTGGATAAATATAAATTTGAAACCTATCTCTTGGCAAAATAAACTTTTCAATTGAATACTAACCATGTAGTCTATGGAATGTACTGCACTGTTAGATATAACTCTTAGTCAATTTAGATTATTAATTAAATATCTACCCCACCCACAAATTTATTTTCAAGTATAAAATTTATTTTCATATACACAGAGGGATTTACTAAAACAAAATACATAAACATATTTACATTTCATTTGAAGTGAAGATAACTTTATTAACCACATGTATAAGGGAGAAAAATACATGGAAGTTTACTAATAATATAAGTCAATAGCCTCACGTTTATAAAGTCCTTTGAATAGATGTTCCTATCTCTATCATCTGTGATAGTAACAATTATAATAATATATATAAATTTAACAATTTATTTTCTAGTCTTTACCAACCCCATCCTGACTCCTATTTGTGCAAAACTAGACACTTGTGATGCTCTTACTTGGAAATAAATATTTAAAACCGGGGCTTTCCTGGCATGAATAAACTTCATTAGATCACTGCCTACTAAATTTTCTGAACATGTTTAAAACACGGAAAATATAGACCAAAGAAATTTAACTCAGTTCCATTATAAAAAGTATCTGATCTGGTTTAGATAAATTTATAGATAAATTAGGAGTCACAGGTGCTTGATGATTATTATACAAAGCTTAAATTCTAAGGAAAAGTCCAATCTAATTGTTTTTAAATTGCTATGAGTCTGACCATAAGTTTAGTATAACTTTCAAAGTACTGGCATTAATTTTTGCCTTTCTAAACTGTTTGACATGAAGTTCTATCCAAAAGGACAGTCAGAAGTTTCTCAGTTTTTAGGTACTTCCTTGAAATTCATTTTTTTAAAAGTTACATTACCTATATATGGAATTTAAAATATTCTTCTCCATTTATCTGGAGGAGTAGTCAACAAGCTAAAAATTTTGTGTCATTTGCACTTCACAGATTAAAGACTAGAGCGTCCACATATTTCCAAATAGACCACCTCTTGCTTATAGCTATTTTAGAATTTTTAGCAGAGTTCGAATGAGTCACACACACAGCAATACTTACTTGAACCTGGCAGGTGAAAGAGGAGTAGGAGGAAACATTCCTGGTTCAAAAGAATCAAAATAAGTCACAGTCCAAGAAAAGCTGCAACAGGAGAATCCAGCAGTTAGGGATACTATAAGCAGAGTCCAGAATCCTGAATGGGAAGAGAAAGGGGGAAAACAACTTAACAGTAAAACTAAGCTAGTATCTTTATGTTGAGAAGATTATGTGTATTTCTGGTCTTCTGAGTTAGATGTAACTGATAATTTGTAAGAAATTTGAGCTTAGCACAAACTGACACATGTGGAAGTCTAAATTACTAAAGTACAAGTAAAAGTTAATATTATTTTAATTAAATTATAATAGATGGAAAGGACAAATTCAACTGAAGAATATAATACCTTTGGTTTTATAAAACTCAACTATGGGAAAAGCTAAAACAGTTCACTCTTAAGGTATCTTGATATTTTTTCATTTAACTTCATGAATAATAGCTTGCTATCTTCTATTACTAAGTGTTAAGTGATTCCTTTCATTCCATACCATGTACTTTTGACATGTGGATCAATTGTAGAGCATCTCCTCTTTATTCCTACTAAATCATAAACCTAATCTGACTTATCACCCTTCCTCAACATAGAAACGAAAGTTCATTCCCAACTTACGAATGAGTTGGGAACCTAGATTTTTTGTTTTTTTTTGCAGTCAATCATGAACTGCGAGGTTTTTTTGTTTTTCACAGAAATATATCAAAAGCATGGTGTGGAACTCAAAGAAAGAGGTAAGGGTTGAGAAGTGGAAGAAAGAGAGGCACAGACAAAGTAAAAAGACATAGTAATAAATTAATTTGAAGATTTTTAGACAGTACTTACAGCCCATTAAAGATATTAAAGAGATGACTTGTTGCAAATCTAACTCCATGGTCAGTAGCAATTCTCTTTTGTAGCTGTACAGTTTTATTCAACGTTAAAATTTTTAAATTCTTTCTTAAATTGATTCATCTACTCAAAAAATATATTGAGTGGTTACTATGTTTTTGTTACTAAGATGATGGGGAACAAAACATTTTGCTGTTTTCATGGAGTAATTATGGTGAGAGAAAGATAATAAACATGCCAATAAATTAATAAGATAACCAAAGATTGTGATAACTGGTTTTGAATAAACAAGATGTTACCTCTCAAACTTCAGACTGAGAACATGAACACTTTTTTCTTGGAAGAGAAGAAGCAAATTCTGAAGTTCTTTTGATGAGAGACGATAATAATCAAAGGGAGACTAATCCTAACAGATAAAGAAGTATTCTGTAGGACCTTAATATTTAACAGTCAGTACTGACATACAAACAGGTAACAAAAGAACAGAGCAAAAAATAAAGTTTAGAAGAAGAGCCAAATAGATTTAAAAATTAAATGTTACTAGGGGCTGGGGATGTAGCCCAGTGGTGGAACACTTGCCTAACATACACAAGGCCTTGGGTTTGATCCCTAGCAATACCTTCCAACACAAAAAAATGGTACTGATTAAATAGGGTGACCACTGAAAAAAAGGAAAAAAAAAAGAAAAGACTTGATCCATACCATACACTCTATATTATATGCTAAATTCTAAAACATATGAAAGAGCCAGGCATTGGTGGCACATGCCTGATTCCAGGACTTGGGAGACTAAAACAAGAGTATCCTGAGTCTGAGGCCATCTGGGCTATATAACAAGACTCTGCCTCAATTCACTAAAATCAGTGATCTACATATATAGGTCATAGAAGGAATTACTGTAAGTCATTTTATAGCCTCTGATAAAGTCTTTTAACAACAAATTTTATGAACCATTATTTAAGATATATAAATTCAAAAATATATCTACACACAACTAAATCTGCACAGCAAAAATCAAATGACAAATGTTTAAAATAAAATATAAATTTACAACATATGGCACAAAGGGAAAATTTTCTATAACAGAATTCCTAGAAACCAGTTAAAAAAAGCTCAACAATCCAAAACTCCAGTATTAAAACAGGCAAGGAATTTGACCACAAAACAGGAAACATATGAAAAGGTTAATGCAGTATCATTAATAATCAGAAAAAATATTGTTTTTCATCAATTGGCAAAAATCTAAAATGCTGTTATATAACATTCTTTGACACTGAGACTATGAATAAACACACTCTTCATGCATCGCTGATAACCTCCTGAGACTGATTTGACAGTATTTGTTAGAACAACCATATATGTTTCCTTTCACTCAGAATTCTACTTCTAGATATCTGTCCTATACATATAAACATATATAAAATATATATACAAGATTATTCTCCATAGCATTATTTATAATAAGGACTGAAAATAATCTAAGTGATAGCAATGGGAGAGATATACCATTAATCTACAGGGAATATGTTCTAAGACCCCCCTCCCCCCAGTGAATTCCTGAAACTGCAAAGTACCAAACCCTATCTTATTTTTCTAATACATATGGGTAGGATAAATTTTAATTTATAAATTAGGTCTAGTAACTAATAAAATATAATAAATACAACACTGCAGTAAGTTATGTGAATGTGGTCTCTCTCCTGTTACTTCAGCATAAGCACTACAATAACCCAACAGTTGATGTGATAACCAAGAGGATTACTAAGTGACTAATGGGTGGGTAGGTAGCACATACAATGTGGATATGCTTGACAAAGAAATGATTCATGTCCCAGGAAGGATGAAACTGGAAGGTGCAAGATTTGAAACAATGTGCAATTTAAAACTACTTCTAGAAACTTCCATTAAATATTTTTCAACAGCCATAGATAACAGTTACCTGAAACCACAGGAAGCAAAACTACAGATAAGGGAGCTACTGTATAGGTCAATAAAGCACATCAATGTAATATAATGCTATGTACCTGTAAAAAATAAGGAAGTTCTTTATGCATTGATATAGAAAAATTTCTAAGATATACTGGTGAGTCCCCAAAATGAAGATTCAGAACTGCACACACACTTACACCAAAAAAGAGAAAATTAATGTACAGATTACATATGTGCATACGCAATTTATGTGGAGAACTGAATATATATTTTACTTATGTATTAATTAAAAATTTCTGAAAGGATTAAGAATTTAACCTTGGTCCTTTATGGGGAGAAGGAATTAGTGGTTGTAGAAAAGGAGTGAGAAGCCCCTTCTGTATATACTTTTCTGAAATTCTGAATTTTGACTCATATATTATTATACCTACTCAGAAAATTAAAAAGTACAAAAAAATTCCAGTAAGGTGGTCCTTTTTTGAATAAGGGACGGACAGGAACGTTGTATCCTAATCTATACGGAGTCATATTCAAACTGCCTTAGTATATTAAGCTTCTACTATGAAAAAAGTGTATGTCCTATGCTTTCAGAGTATAGGAAGGAAAGACTAAGTAAGAACACTAGAGGAAGAGTTAAGAATTACCAGATTTCCTGGTTACACAACATGACTTACTACAGAAGCCTTTATTTTAGCAAAAAGCAGTTAAGAAATACGTACACTGTCTTATTTGTAAGCCATGGGAAGCTCAGTAACAGACTGATAAAAATGCTAAAATACAAGGTAATTAAGCAATAATGAATATGTGGTAAACTATCTTTGGAAGATTAACCTAATGTTTTCTGATAGCTCCCTTTCCCTCCCTCCCTACCCCTGATCAGAGATAAAGAGCTCTATGTTCATTACCCCTCAAGAGGGATGTAATAAGCAGAAAAGAAAAACAGCCTATCTTTCTGGCCTTTATGTTGCAGAATAATTACAAAAACTAGTGCAGGGATACAATCAGGGAGGGTAAAAACACAGAATGTCTTGAACAGCCAACAAAGATGAGTTGATTGGGGAATAGATGAAATGTTTGTATGGCACAGGAAGGTGAGAAAGGCACTCCCAGTTCAAATAAATCACGTGTGTGCTTCAATTTAGGTGTGTATGGGGAGCAGGAGAGTGTTGTTGGAGTGTTCCAGCAAAGCTATGTAGAAGAGGACACACACCAGGAAGGGAATATAGCTGTGTACATCTTGGCAGATGAGCCCTGACTACAGGACCTCTGTCTTTAGCAGGGCACAGAAACAGTGGATGGTGCTGTGGTGTAATTGTAATATCTAAAAGGGCATCCTGACCAGAATGAAAGACATTTCAATAGTAACTCACTTTAACAAAATGTCTTGAGGGTCAGAATGTACCTCCGTCCCAAAATTCTAGCGTAATGCCTCCAGAACCTCAACCTAACCTGGAATTGTACGAGTGGTACCGCAGTAAAGGCTGGCAAACAACTCTGCCAACCCAGTGAGAACAAAACAGAAATGGTAAGATTTAGTGTACACCTACAATTTGTGGGTGGCTATATTGCCAAATGGCTATTATTTGCACTATTTCAATGAAAACCTCTAAAATGAGGGGAAGAAATAATCAAAAAGTTTACTCTAAGTTTAGCATAATAGGTAAAGTCTCTAGAATAAAGATGTTAATTAACCCAGTTAGTATTTGTGAACTGCTATGGAATAATGAAATTTCTAGATTCCTAAAAAAGTAAAGACATATAACAACATTTAGAAATAACCAAACATCAAGGTCTGTGAAGCCAATCAAGCTTTTTCACTTGGGTGCTTTGATAGAATACCCGGAAAATAAGAATGTTTTTGAGTTTTTCTGAAATGACTACTATTCCAGTCTAAGTGGTGCCAAACACTGGAAATTTTAACTGTTTTATATTCCTTTTGAACTCATCAAAAGCTGTATCACACACTGTATAACTCATGTCAGAATACAAGAGTTCATTCTATTATCGTAGTAGTTACTGTGGTCTAATAGTGACTATCTGACTATTAAAAAACTCATATACGAATAAGCAGAAAAGTCACGACATTTACTCCCAACAAATGAATTTGCTACAAGTCAGTATCTTCAGAATCCTTAAGGTAAAACTTTAATAACTAGCTTTATAAACTCACTTTACCAAGAATTTACTAAAAATCTGAAAGCGTTTAAAAATTTTTAGAATACTGTAAAAGTGTAATACATAGTGCTAAATTTTGCATACTGTTAAGCTTAATAAATAACTTTACTGTTACTGTTTCTCTAAACTTAAATTTATGCTTTTAAAAAAACTTTTCTCCTAGATAGCTACACTTATGAGGACTACAGAAAACAAACAAAAATGTGCAATTCCAAAGCCCAGATAAACAACATTTTAGTCCTATCTTTCCAGTTCTTTTTTCCCCCTAGTCATTCTTTTGATAATGTCATACACAACTTTTTAAAGGTTTGTGCTATAGAACAGAACATATTTGTGAATTTTAGATGAAATAACTACACTCAGTTGGGGATAGCACCATAACATTTCTTTAATAGATTGTGGGCTCAAATTAAAAGGTTCCTACATTGGTTAATTTTCAAACTTAAGAGTTTCCATAATTTTTGGCTATCAAAAATTGAATTTTTCTCAATTTGTGTCTAAGAATGAATCGCCTCCACCATATGGCCTCTCTTGAAAATTTTTACTGTGTTTCTAACGTTCTGTATCATGAAGTCATGTTCTTAAGGAAAAGGGGATGAGTTTTTCAGATGATATAGCTTCACTTTGATTAAACTCAGTATGTCAGTCCTTTCTTCTTTGTACGTGTGCAGAAGGGTGAAAAACTCTCAGCTATAAAGTAAAACAGCAGCGTACTGAAAGATGATACAAATCTGGATATAGACACAAAAGGTACTTAATGTTGGGCTGCAGGTATGACTCAAGCAGTAGTGTGCCTGCCTCGTAAGGTCAAAGCTATGAGTTCAAAACGCAATACCATTAAAAGAAAAAAGAAAGAAAAACAAGATGTTAAGGAATGACAGGCATTAAAGATGACAGATTCTGAAGCTTAGTTTTTGTTTGTTTTGAGATATAGTCTTGCTATATTGCCCTGGCTGGTCTCGACCACCTGGGATCAAGTAATCATCCTGCTTCAGTCTCCCAAGTAGCTAGGACTATAGGTGTGACCACCAGGTCCAGCCCAGAAGCTTCTTAAGACACAGAAAGCATTCCATCAAGTCTCATACTACAAATTCTATAGCACTGACTATACAGGACACAGATATAAAATAATAAAATAGACTATCACCTTTTTAAGAACTTAATCATCTTGGCACTGCTCCTCTGAAGTAGATTTTTAAAGAACCCTCTTCTGATAGAGAAGACTGTTCTCTATGTACATGTTATAACAGACATATTTTCAATAAACATAACTACACCTTAAAATCAATCTTAAAAGAATCTGATTTAGCCTATTAGGTGATGATAACTGTATTTTTCACTTGATCACTGGTTCAAAATAAGGACCTTTGTCTTGATATAGTTTAGCTTTTCTGCTGTAAAAATACAGCAATTTTCCTCATTCCTGAAATTTTTTTTTTAACAGCACCAGAGTTTGAACTCAGGGCTTTTCATTTGCTGGACAGGTGTCCTACCACTTGAGCCACGCCCCAACCCTTTTTGCTCCAGGTTATTTTCTGAAATGGTCTTGCTTTTTGCCTGGGGCCAGCCTTGAGCTATGCTCCTTTTACCTATGGCCTACCACATAGCTTGGATGACAGACATGCACCACCACATCCAGCTTATTTGTTGTTGAGATGAGGCCTTGCCAGCCTTTTCCCTGGGTTGAGGGAGACAACATGCCCAGCCTCTCATTCCTAAATCTTGATAGTAAATTCCTGTCATAATTAAAGACTTAGATATTGCTATTCCTATCTTTTATAGGATTATCAAGCATACCTAAAAGCTATATGAGATTATTTAAATGGAAGTAGAAAACGAGGCAGGTCAATGACGAAAATCTAGCATATTCCTTTTGATATTAAGCAAACTATTCTTTCGGCTAACAGTTGCTGGATATCCATTCTATTCATATGAATTCAGGCCCCTTTTAAGTAGCAATAGTTTAGAATTCACGCCCAGTCATGATTCTGTTTCTACTCTTTAAAGATGATAGTTCAACAAATGCTATGAAAAGTCTAATAATCTTGTTTGTTTCCAAGAGATGAAACAGAGTAACATAAATTGATAAAACGAGTAATTAAAATTGTTTTCTCATGCAAGAAGTTGAGAGGAACACACAAATTTCTATGTGATATCTAATTAACTTCTTCGTAATTTGAACATAAACCTTTCTCATTCTATAAAATTAGGCAGACTATTCTTTGGGTCACTGTGAAGACATTACCCTTATAAACATAGATGAAAAGGTTTAACAAACATTGGGAGTGGGGGTTAACATGCATGACAAAACCTTAACCGTTTAGAATAACCACATCAGATTATTTGATTTAGATTGATTTAGAATGATCAAAAAATGAATTACAGCAAAAAGGAGTGAAGTACATCAAATTGGTAAAGTTTTGAACTCTTCAAAATTATTTTGGTGGAGAAAAAAAAATACAGCTATATATCACCTTTTAAACTGTAAATCTGTTAACTGTACTATTTTATAAACCCTATAGAAACTTGTGTCTGACTTTTCTAGTCATTAACCTGGTACAACTGTGGCCAGTAATTCTATTTTCTTTTTCAAAAAAAGTTGCTTATAGAAGTAAACACAAAGGCACATGCAGTAGCTCAAGCCTGTAATCCCAGCTACTCAGGAGGCAGGGCTCCAGAGGATGGTGGTTGGAAGCCCAAACCAAAAATTAATTAAGACCTCGCCCAGCTCAACAAATAAACTGGACATGGTGAGGAGGCCTCTTATCTCAGTTGATGGTGCTCAGAGGTCAGCCTCAGGCAAAAGGGAGACTATCTGAAAAAAATAACTAAGGCCAAAAATGAGCTGGCAGTGTGGTTCAAGTGCTAAAGCAACTGCCTACCAAGTGCAAGGACCCAAGAGACCAAAAACAAATAAACAAAAAAATCTCAAAATTCTCCTGAAGTCTGCTTATGATATTATCTTAGCTATTTTTTTTTTAAGTTCTGAGAAGTGGTATGAGGAGGCTCTTCCAGAAGATAATTAGAAAATGCTAACTATTTGCTGTACCAGAGTCATATATGGTTATGCTTAAAATATTTTACAAACACACACACTGGTGGCCCATTATAAAATTACAGAAAATAAATAAGTACACATATACATACCCCACATATATACATTAAAAGGAAATCTATTAACATTTACCACAAACACATGCAAATGAAAAATACTAAATCAACTACACATGGAAATATAAAATAGTTTATTCCAAGTTTGTATAAATTTAAACATAACTTTTAAAAACAAAAATGAGTCACTGGATGAATTAAGTAGAAAGTTCATACCTAATAGCCCAGTATCTACATCCTCTTCATTCTTCAAATTTTCAGCATGCAACTCTGTAAACACAAAGAGAAGCTCAGGGAGAAAAGTAAGACTATTTCATAATTTTAAGAATAAACCAAAGCCTTGGAAGACACTGTAGAACTTACTCCAGAGTCAGAACTGGGTTCAAATTGTTTTTAGTAGCTATGTGCTCTTCAACAACAAAGAAGAACTCTACAGGAAATTTAAGGGCATACTAGATTTTAAGTTCAATTCTTTTCTCCATTCTCCAACATATCAATGTCTTCTACAATGAACTTCCAGTTACAATTGATCACATGACTTTGACACAAAAAAAAACGATCTCTTAGAAGAGAAGCTATGTACAAAACTCTCAGAGTTGCAGAGAAAAAAAGGGGGAAGAGTGATAAAGAAATAAAAGATGGCCAAACAGTTGACACCCAGTGAATGCTATGTTAAGGTAAAACTTTTTAACTTGCCAATTTGTTTTCTACATTAAAATAAAGTAGGCTAAGTGATTAGAGGCCATCTGTAGCCCATTAAGGCCTGGAAGGTAATGAGGAAAAATAAAAGTTGGAGTTAAAATAGATTTAACTAGCAAAGCCAATTCCTAAGTGACAAAGTGTTGAGTCCTTTTTATGCAACAAATCCCGGTTTGTTTGTTTTGGGGAGGGGGGAGCTTAAATGTTTCTATTTAATAATTCAGCCTAGGTCACATACTAGTTAGAACTGATATTTAAACTCAAATTTGATTCTTTCCACTGTAAGAAATACCCAACCACATATAATACATCTCTATAACCCTTACTTGTTTTTTTAACACTCAAAGCACACCTATTTTCATTCCAATTTGGCCACTATTTCAACTTCAGACACAGAAAAAGAAAATTATTCCGAGGAGGAATAGACTATCTCCAGGAATACAACTTTGAACACTACACCTGGTTACAAACAGAACTCAGAGAAGTTAATTATTTCATCTATTAAAGTAGAAATCTGGCTGTGGGATGGAATTCTTGTCCTCCAAGAACTTTTAGTGTTGAGAAGGGAAGTGGCCAGTGTGCCGGCCTTTGAATGTTTTAAAGACACGCACTTGTCACCGCTTACAGTCGGGTGCTCTGCATTTTGCTTCAACAGTCGCGCTATTTCTCCCGATGTATTCACTGGCTTTAAGGCATTTCTTCCAGAGCGCCCATTTAATCAAAACGTCCTTTCCTAACGCGGTGTCACAACAAACCAAAGGCCCAGGCAGACGAGAAGACAAAAGGAGAAGGGCGGGGACAGGTAAGACGGGGAAGGGGACCGCGGCGAAGAGGGAGGTGTAACCAAGCTCCACCTGACACTGTCCCGGCCCGGGCTCTATACCTTTAACGACCAAGTAGGCGATGGCGAGGAGGAAAGCCAGGAGGGCGGCGAACAGCAGCGAACAAACAATAGAGAGGAGCTGGACGGGCCACCGCCGAGCCTGCGCCCGGCTGCCCGCGCCCACTGGAAAGACCCCGTTGCGCTTGTCGCGCAGCACTGGCGACCCGTCCCCGTCCAGCGGCCGGAGTGTGGCCCTCCGAGGCTCGGATGCCGCGCCCGCCGAGAACTCCGCCCTCAAGTCGCGGGCCACCTGGTCACATCCCTCCTCTTCATCTACTTCGCCCTCACCCCAACTATCTCCTTGACTGAAGGCTGAATACACAGATCGAGAGAGAGGAGCTGGCGTGGCCAGGCGGCGATGCCGCGGCGCCAAACTTGTCCCGCTTTCCACAAACGACATGGTGGGAAAGACCAGGACCCGCAGAGGTCGAACGTCTCCCACCGCCCCGCCCCCGAAACAGCCAATCAGCGCCGGGCGTCACAGCAGCCTCCACCACAGTGCCCGGGCACGCAGGGGTCCAAAACCGGGAGCGGTGGGGTGGGGTGGGGCGGGGCGGAGGCCGTGGAGCGCCCCGCCTCGGGTCTTAGGCGGGAAGTGGAACCCGGAAGCGCGCAGGAAAAGAGACCGCACAGGGGCGGATGTAGCCGAATCTCCCTCCCCTTCTTGCTGCTCTTCGTCCAAGCCGGGATCGTCCGCCGCTGCCGCGGGACCTTCAAGCACATTCCCAACTTATTTCCTGTTTCCATCCTTCCCCTTTACAATCGCACTCTGCTCCGGAATGCTCCTCCTACCCCTTAACAGCAACTCATTACTAGGTACTGGCGCCCTGTATTTGAACCACCCGCTCCTGTCTTTTGCATTGTCCCCCCGGCCTCCAATTTCTTAGGCTGCTCGACACGCCCCCGGCGTGCGCTGGCGGTCCGGAACTTAAACCCTGCTCAGGATCCCGCCTCGCCTTCCCCGCCTTCTCCCCTCCGCCTCCGCCTCCAGCGAGACGCAAGCGCGCGCGCATTTGGCCCCGGGCGCCGCTAACGCTAGCAGCTGCTTGCCCCGCCCCCACTCAACCCCACCCCACCCCTGGCTACCTCAGGTTTGTTGGGGGTGTATGTAACTCGGACGGGGAGGGGAGGTGAAGGTGGTTAGGTCCCCAGTGCTCCACCCCCTATGGGGTAAGGCGGGCTAAGCCCTGGAAACTAGGATGCAGTTGTCTTTCCTTCCCCGGGGGAAGTTGGTTGAGTTTTCCCGGCAGACCACTCGACACGGAAACTTCCTCCGTCGTCTTCCCTCCCTCCATGCAGGCGACGCCAAGTGAGGCTGGGGGCGAATTACGGCAGAGCTGCGTGTCAGCGGCGCACTCTGATTGGTCAGTGAGGAAGCCTGTCAGCTTATTGGCCCCGCTGGTTCCGCCCCGTAGCGCAGGGCAGCCTTTACCCTTTGGCCCCAGCGGGCGCCAGCCACTCAGATCGCTTCTTGTTGGTATGTGTAGCGGCAGTGGCCGCCGGCGGAGCAGTCTGAGCCCGACGATGAGGCCGGGAACGGGAGCTGAGCGTGGAGGCCTCATGGTGAGTGAAATGGAGAGCCATCCTCCTTCGCGGGGTCCCGGGGACGGGGAGCGGAGATTGTCCGGCTCAAGCCTCTGCTCCAGCTCTTGGGTCTCTGCTGACGGCTTCCTGAGAAGACGGCCCTCGGTAAGGGCTCGGTGGGGCAGGGAGAAAGCGGCACAATGAAAAACGGAGTCAGAGAGACAGGAAGCGTTCTCCAAAAGGAGAAGAAGATGAGAGTGGACGAAGGAACAGCTCGAGATGGTGGGATACGTCCCGGGGGAGAGAAGTGGAGGGCGGGGACACACAAAGAGGAAGATCGAGTTCCGAGTCGTCCTGGCCTAGGCAGATGCGCGGTCAGGGCGCGGGGCCCTGGGCGGGCGGTGCGTCCTGGGGCCGCAGGCCTAGCCTTGCAGGGAGAGCTGATCCTGTGGGCTTCACAGGGCTGCCAAGTGACTGTTCTCCAGCAGTGGTGGTGGGCTGCCCGGCGACTCCCGGGAGAACTTGCAGGGAGTAACCGACTGGCCTCAAACCTGGAACAATGGGCACCCATGTAAAAGTGCACCAAAATAGACGAGTTGGTTGTTTGCACTTGGTGTTGTGAGTGACAGAAGCACAGTCTTCGAAAATGTGTTTTTGGCAAAAGCAATACTAGTTGACTTAATTCTTAGGTTAGTTTGAAGGGTTCCTGACTTCCCACAAGACATATAAATTAATTTGGTAAACTTAACGTTTTAAAGTTAAAAGTTAGTAGCATTATAAAATGCCAGCTGGTTATCGTTTCTGTCTGTATGAGATGGGACAAAGTTGTTTTCGTTGTAACAGCTTTTAAGTTCGGATTCAATACATGTCCTCCAGGTTAAACAAGTTGATTAGTAGGTGATTAAATCAGTGCAGTGTGCGGAACCCTATAGTCCTCCTATACAGTAATGATTTTAACTTTCTCCACTTTGCCAGGGAATTTCCAAGCTTCTTAAAAATAGTGTACCGAATTTTGTTTAAAGCAAGGTGTAAACTAATCCAATATTTTAATCCCACATTAGCCTAATACTGTGCCACTTCGAATAAGTGATTGATTGATGTGAGGTTTTAGAGAAGCATATAATGTGACATTATAATGTTAATTTTTCAATTTTCACTGTTTTTCAGATGGGGCACCCTGGCATGCATTATGCACCAATGGGAATGCACCCTATGGGTCAGAGAGCAAATATGCCTCCTGTACCTCATGGAATGATGCCACAAATGATGCCCCCTATGGGAGGGCCGCCAATGGGACAAGTAAGAATGTTATGGTTTTGTTTTGGTTTGTATTTATTTTGGGCTCAGGTTTTATTGTGTCAAGATTTCAGAGTTAAGTCAATATTGTACTTGTAGCTGTTTGAGGATTAGTTTATGACCATCTAGTGTTTTCAAGTAAGACAATGTTGAATCATGACTGTAACAAGAGTTTGAATGCAATGAAAAACTTACTGTCTGTCTCTCTTTTAAAATTAAGATTTTTAAAAAATTTATGACAGTGTACATCTAGGTCTTTTAACTTAATGATTTTTTTCAAGTATGTCAATTGAAGTTAATATTCTAAAAGCCAATATTATCTGCTGTGTCAACATAGCTTATTTTGGGGACCATGTAAATGCATAGAATCAGCTGGTAATTATTTAGGCTTTTAGCTTAGAATGAATTTTTATTTCTAAAATATCTTCCTCTTTGTTGGGGGATTGGGGAGATTTTTCTGCTCTATAATTCTGATTATTCATAGGACAGTGCCAAATGGATAGTTCATTTTCCACTTAGATTATTTTTTTTAAATCTTATTGCTTCTACACTCCTGCTTATGAGCTGCCCCTTCCATCTCTAGCATAAATTGTAAATGGACATTTTGTTGGAGTGATTTGGATCTAAAGGTTTTAATGCTGACTCAGTGACTAGTAGAACTGAGTTTCTAGAGAAGCATGCAAGAAAGGCAACAGGTTCAGTTATCATGAATAATTGTGTGCCCTATGCTAGGTTCTTTAATACACAGATCCTTAGTTGGCTAGGTTTTTTCCATTTGAGTTTCTTGATATATAATGAAAAGTTTAGGCTAACAAAATATTTTGGAAAGCCAATTATGCATTTTCTTTTGCTAATGAGTACTGTTTACTTTGATAATTATTTATGCTTTGATGACTAAAGTTACTGGTGAAAATTGCAGTGGAAAAAGGAGCTTCTGTGTCTCTCTCTTATTTAATCTTAAGAGTAGAAGGGCTCGATGTCAAGTGGTTTTCTTCTTTTATATTTGGAATATAGCCCTTAATTTTGTATAAAAATCTTTATTCAATGGCACCAGACCTGAAAGATTCTGCCTGCAGGAGTTCTTTATGTAAAAGATTCTTTTTTTTTTTTTTTCTTTTTCTTTCTGTTCTAGATTACCACAAGTTTTTAAATGCCTTAGGAGATGCAGAGGCAACTCTGATTCCTCTTCTGTTTCTTTCCATCTCTAAGCAGCAAGGAGCTCTTCTTGTTTTCTTGGTAGAGCTGCTCTAACTAGATAATGAGCTTTAAAAAATATTAATTCTAAATGCTCTGGTTCTTATTTAAAATTAGTTTCTTTCCACAGAAAGATAAAATAAAACAATTTGCTACTGCCAGATGCTTCTCTCTTTTCTGGGGCCTTCTGTTTCCATTGGGCCAACCAAGGTAAGTTTTGCAAGGGCTTGACCTGCTTACCCTTGCTGTAATGGTGCTGTTGCACTATCAAAGCCAAGATACCAGCTAGTCATTTCTAGTAAAATGCAGATTTTACTTTTTAAAACTGCTTTCATATATCTCATTGACGTAAGCTGGTCACATTGTTACATGGCCCTTTTCTTTAGCTGTATCAGTGACCACCTTCCTAGTAAGTTTACTTGCTACTTGGTGTACATCCATTCACATACTTTGAATTTTGCCTTGTGGTTTTCTTCTTCTTTTTTTTTTTTTTTTTTTTTTTTTTTTGCTTAGGCCAGTATATTTTATGTGCCTAAGTATACCTGAGTACTTAGTTGTCTGGAGATTTCTCCCTCTGTTGGTTCCTGATAGGATAATGAATGAATGTTTTAGGAGTCCAGCTTTGAGGGTCTCAAGAGAATTGTCATTGTTTTTTCAAAATTAGATCATTCTCTTCTCTCCCCTTACTATCTCACAGATACAGGTCCTAACTCTTGATAAAGCTAATCCTTATTTTAATTTTATAAGAGATTCAGGAATCTTATTTAAAATCTGTAAACATTTCCTTAAAGATAAAAATCAGTAATAGCAAAATTGATCTTTTTTTATTTCATCTGTCTTACATATGCTCAAAAGTATTAATGAGTAGTAAGTGGTTAGAAGATAATTGAGAAATAACGGGACACCTGTATCATTCATACCAGTGATGATAAGGTTTTGCTATTCAATTTTAGGATTCTTTAGATTTTGGGACTGAAGTTTATAGGACCTTCACAAATAATTGGTTCTTCATAGCTGCTGAGTTCCACATCCATGAATTCAACTAGCTGCGAGTTGACATTATTTGAAAAATAAGTTGCGTTTGTACTGAACAGGAAAAACTTCTTTCCTCCTCATTATTCCCTAAACAATATAATGTGACAGCATGTATCACATATATCTTATTGGGTATTATAAATAACCTGGAAGTTATTTAAAGTATACCAGAGGTTGTACATAGGTCATATGCAAGTACTGCATCATTTTATGTATAAGGGACTTAAGCATCTGTGGGTTTTAGTAAACGAGGGGTCCTGGAGTCAGTCCCCCTCAGATACCAAGGGACAACTGTATTGATCATGTCTCATTAAGATACCTTGATGAGACCAGCCAAAGGCCAAAATCAATGACAGTCTGTCTTGTAGTCTTTGGAATGCTACTAAATATGACATGAACTTTTAAAACGTGTTTGTAAAATAATATGTAGACAGGACAGAATGGTCTACGGAAGTCAGAGTTTGCAATTTTTGAACTGCCACAAGTTATTTAACTTAAAGGAAAGTGATATATTCAACTTTTTTTTCTTGATTCATAGGACAGTGTATACTGCCAGTTTTACAATTCAGGCTGAATCTGTTAGTAGTTAGAAAGATTTGGAAATATCAAATGGTAGCTTAATATCTTTCAGGTTTATTGCAGTTATCTAGTCTGTAGTTTAAATTTACCTCTTTCTTGAATATAACTATGGGAAAGTCATATTCCTACT